CAACCAATCATAACTTTGAATGTATAATTTGTAGTTTTCTATTATATAAGATTTGTCATGGTAGCAGTGCAGACGATTCTAAGGAATCATAGTTAAAAACTTCCGCAATAAAAATCTTGTGAATTTTTTTTGGATTGGTTGTTTTATTTATTATAATATATGTTTTGCTTTTTTACAAGCAATTGTTGAGTTTTTTTGGAGGATCTTTTTCACTTTGTTTCATATTTTTTTAAGACAAAAGTGTTTAAAAGTTTGATGATTTGGTTTTGGTACATGAATAAATTGAGAGGTTTCTTTTGAAATTATTTCTAAGGGTTTATGATTTTTCATGGTTCCTTACTTCTACTTTGTTAGTTCTAAATTTTCTCAGTATTTTGGTTTCTTTTTATTACGAGGGAGTTTGTTTATGAAATTTACTACTACAGGAGAACTCATATTTTCAAGTTATTTTGTAGTCCAAAATATGGATTGTCCGAGACAAGGACAATTATTTGTGGAATTGCAAGTAGCCCCCATAAGATGTTTTTCCCTTTTATCGAGACCGAAGACGAGATAACGTTTCATTCCTCTTTCCAAGACTGAAGTCTATTTAGGATTGACGAATCATAAGGTGGTCTATCAATGGTAGTAATTGTTAAGAGTTCACCTCAAATACAAATTTTAACTGTCACCATTGCTGAATTTTATTGGTTTCTAGAAAACGACATTCCACAAGTATTAATAGTGATTGATCAAATCATGGGAAATCAATTTTCAATGTTTTTTAAAAACATTAGAGTTTAACTATTCAATTTCCATTATATTCTTTGACGATTATGTTTGTTTGTGTGTATTCCAAAAATAGACTGCCTCAAAACAACACTTACTCTTCTGTATCTCCATTGCATTGAATCCTTTTCTTTTGTTTGCATAAGCACATTCCATATAGATAACTATTTTACTTGACTGGGACTGTAAGCATTATTTTTCTTAATTAAATCGTAAACTGCATAATACAACTCCTTTGGTAGGTTCCTCAAAGGGAACTTGGTCTACAGGTGTGTTCTACGGTTATGTAATCATTGTCATTCTTGCATTACATGTGGTTCTCAAGTACGTCTATGCACCATCAGGCTTAGTCCTACTCTTCTGTCTCTACGGATATTCCCTATTCATCTTTATCCCTGCACTGCACTTAGTTTACAAGTCCTCCTTACTTTTAAATGGTAAATCAAATGAGAAATCCGACACTATAAAAATTCTTTACGTTGCAGTTTCTCTTTGTTGTGCCACTAAAGATCTCCAGATGGGTGACTGCGGGTTTAGCTTGATTCATGTCTGCTACATTCATGTCTTTGAACCTCAAATCACATATTAACTTTCCAGGTGAGAGATGGTTCTTGACAGTGGCCAACATTCAATTCCTATTCTTAAGCTCGCACTTGTGGTCGCCCTGAAGCTATTCACTGTCACCGTATCCATCATCCCTTAGAAGACGTCACTGTGTTTTTTACCAAGTATTTAACTTAGGTACGGTATTAGATCTGATTTCTTAGATCATGAAAGGAAATAGTCTTTTTTTACTTGGCAAGTTCTCCTTTTTTGTAAAAACTAGTACAGACTGAATCTGTGTTCCATGATTATTTTATCTGTTTTCATCAACATGAATATTATATATACCTCAAACATGTAGAGATCGAATGTTAGGCTGATGTCCTACCTTCTATGAGTTATTCGCAATCCTTATCTTATACCAAGATATTTTTTCAGTTTAATTTAACTGAAGTTTCCTAGACTGAACTATTGGTCGAAGTAAGCTCTTTCAAACGTCATCCAGTTAATCTATCTCTGTCAGTAGGCCAAACCTTGATCACATTGAACTATTAAGAATTTTGCACATTTTTCATTTAAGTAACGTGAATTATTTACACAGTCCTTAACTTCTCTACTTAAATTATGTCCATTTCTCTTTGCTGCAAAGTTAACAAGAATGAATGAATATTTAAGAATTCCAAGTAGACAAAAATAAAAATCATTAAGAATCCCAAATATGCATAAGCAGCGTCCACCATTATGGAGATGCTATGGTAGGCATGTAGGTCCAACGAAGCAGGAAACAACCCCATAAAAAATCTAAATATTGATCATGATAAGAGTGATTTTAAGAATATGCAACCATGCATAAAAAAATAGCTTTAATAGGAAACAAAAACTAACAATAACAGTTAAACCTTATCATGCGAGAC